GGAGTTAAACACTCCAGAATGTTTATGCATGCTTCTAGCAGGACTTTTTTTTTTCTTTGAGATATCTTATTATGTTGAAATCGCCCCCAACCAAATAAGGCTCAGAGCAAATGTCACAGAATCTGGATAATTCAGATAAGAACTCAAATTTTTTCTCCTCTTGGGCAGCACCATATATCACTAGCAAATTCCATTTAATTCTAACTTCTTTATCCCAAAGGTTCATTTGTAAAATAAAAATCACCCTTTTTAAAAGATCCCACATCAAATCTACTCAAGTTAATACCAACTAGAATTCCTCCAGATTTACCTTTGGAAGGAGTCCATTCCCAAAGATAATGCTGGAAGGTATCAAATTTTCTCAATAACGAAGTGACACATTCACTCACCATTGTTTCCTGAAGACCAATAAAATTGAACTGATATTGAAGGATAAGATTTTTAAGAAATGTAGAGACCCCCTTTTTCTTGAGGCCTCTACAATTCCAAATTAATTCTTGTAGCGTCATTTTTTAACTTTTTTCTTTCTTCTCTTTGGGGAATGGAGGCCAATTTTACCTCCATCATCCTCCGTGGTCAAGCCAGGAGCTTCCTGAGCTTGTTTCTTTCTATTTATTTTGGGAGAAATCATAAGTTTACTTTTAGACAGTTTCCCATTTTTTTTGCAGTGCGCAAGGATGTCACTCTCTGTCTCAGAGGGTCCATCCTGCAACCATTCAATTAACCTTTCTTGCAAATCATTTTCCTCTACGATTTCTTCTATCTGTTCTACAACCGCAGGTTTTGTTTGCTTAATATGAAGATTATTTCTAGCAATCTCAAGATCCTTAAGCATATTTAAAGTACCAAAATGAATGTTATCTACTGCAATTCCCATCTCAGAAGACAAGCATTTAATAGTTCTACAGGAAGTTCAGAGAACATGTTTGTGTTAAAAGAGTTACCTTCCAGGTTTCTTTTCTTGGCCATCCTCTCGTTTTTTTCCTTGGTTGTAACAGCAATGTCACCTATCAGGCGTTCACTCCTCCTGACTTCAGTCTGCTTCTTCATCTTGAGATTTGTATTAGCATCACTCTTCACAAGGTCTTGGAGCTTTCCATTTTGATCATCAATTGCCTTTACAGATACCACTCTCCTGAGTGTTTATAATAGCATCTTCAGAAACTTCCATCTCAGTATAGGCAGCGGTATCCTCCTGCTGAACTGGACCAGATACGAGTTTGTCTTGTTCGGGAGAGGTGAGTTTAGACTTCTCAGAGATAACTGTGTCACAAAGATGTTGTTTCATGTTTTCATCCACAACAGTAGTATCCATGCACCAAACCTGACGAGAGTCATCCAGTGGCGTAGCCAGGATTTGTAGCTATGGTTGTCCATTGTCTAAATTTTTTTAATGCTATACCAATTTGATAAGTAAATAGAACCAATGATAAACTTTATCGCTCTTTGTTTCAACAATTCTCCAAGAGAATTATATAATGTTTCAATATATATCCAATACTGCAAAAAATCATATATTGAAATAAAATAATTCAGTGTTGCACTTGCACCAAAAATAATCAGTTTTGCATACCCTAAGGTTGTGCACTTTTCCTGTCTGACTGTCTGCAGATCGCAGATCACCGAACGGATCATATATTGAAATTGAAGAAACTGAAAGGAAAAGAAGAAACGTATGTACTTGTGACTAAAGGAGAATAGCGATAGATCATAGACGTTGGCTCAGCAGCCAGCAGGATTTAACGTTGGCTCAGCAGTTCAGTCTTGGAGTCGCTAGGATTCAGAGTACCTGCTGGGCTGCTGCTTTGCGTTTGCCCTCGTGGAGATGCCGATGTCAGAGTCCGATGGGCGATGGCTGACTGGTGCTCGCCGCAGGTAGCAGTTGCATCGCGGTCGTCCACCGATCCCAGTACCCCACGATTGCACCGCACACCACGCGAAAGAAGGAAAGCAAAGAATACGATTGGAGACGAACTGACGGCGGCAGCCGGAAGATCCTGAGCGACTGAGCGAGTCCTAACTCTACCTATGGGCTTTGGTTGGGCCGAGCGCAGGGTGGTCCACGGCCACGGCCCACAGGGACCACCCTGTAGCTCCGCCCCTGGAGTCATCATCCTTGCCTTGCTTAGAACAGCATTGTCCAAGATCACCATAGCCATCAAGCTTGCGAATTCAATCACTTAGTTTCACTGTCAGACTCAGAGTTCTCAAATGTGTCAGGAATGTACACTTTCCCACCTTGATCATCCTCCAAAGGTGACTTTTGCAGATTAAGGGATTTTCCAGATATAAGCTTTGTGCCAATTTTCGGCGGTGAGACATAGTGATATTGCTAGATTGTCTATTTTCCCCAGCCTTCTCCTTCCCTAACTGCATAGTTTTCCCACTGGATTTACCATTTTTGTCACCATGAGTGTTGTTACTGATGTTTTCATCAGTTTTAAACTTCTTCTGGGGAGGGGGATGGCCACCCTCTGTTATCTCGATTCCACTTTGAAGAGTCCTCTCAGGTCCCTCAACCTCTACCTCTCTCTCAAAATGGAAATCATGTACAGCCAGTCCCAAAGAACTCTCTGCAGTCCTTGGAACCTTGGTGATGTCCCTGCAAGCAATTCGTGCCCTGACATAATCATGTCTGAATCTTGTCCTCTCATCTATCTCTAGGACCTTGCCAACCAAGCCACCTACTTTTGCACTGTTCTTATGGATCTCTGGTCAGTGGGGGTGCCCCAAATCCTGAACCAAGCTTGTTGTAGAGTAGCTTTAGCCCCAAAGCTGGATGTGTAAGCTTCTACCTTGATTTGAGCATTAACATACCTCATAGCCAACATTGGGAAGTGGCTCCAGTCCTTGACAGCCTTAGCATTTGGAAACTTCATCATGTATTTGCCTTCAGCAATGGATCTTGCTGCCCACCTCCAAGTACTAGAGCCAATGAGATTTGCAAATTCCTTCTCAATATCCTTGCCCGAGGCATCTCCAGATAACACTGAAATGATTGCAGTACAGTCTTTCTCCCTAGCCATCCTAGGATCAATGTTTTCTTCAAAGTAGAAGCTTTGGTCTTCAACTTGAGTTGCACACAATTCAGGACCACAGTTCCAAGGAATGCACCTCTTACAGTCATAAGCCATGTGACCATTAACTCCACAGATCTCACAATTAAGACTTCTACAATCTTGAGTAACATGATTGAACAGACCACAGATAGCACATGGTTCCTTATCTGATTATGACGGGGATCAGAAGGATCTTCAGGGACTTGGTGAGCCTTGTTACCTTGAGATGATTCATCGGCTTCTTTGCCGCTTTTTTTGCCCCAGGATTCTTCTTTTGTGTTCTTCTGGGTCTTTCCTTCCCACTTGTCCTCAGTAGTAGCCTGAGTTTGCTCATCATCTGGTGCAGCCTCTTCGCGAGCAGGTGCTTCTTTGTTGGTGCGCTCCCAGGTGAGGTTACGGCCCTGAGTACGGCCTCTCCCTCTTCCCTGGCGACCGGCCCCAAATCCATCGCGGGCCGCTCCGAAGTTGCCCCTGTGACCTCCCCCGCGGTTCATCCTGACCGATACCATGGGAGCCGGCTCGGCTCTCATGGCGGCGGCAAAGGATCTCGATGACTTGCCACGCCACAGGTGGCCGGCCAATTTGGTGAGAGAGGGTTTCAGGGATGGTGGGTTAAGGTTTGTGAGATTGGGAGAAGTTTGGATCGGGATCGAATCCGGAGGGTAAGACGAAGAGAAGGTTATGTGGTGCTCCGACTCGGAGTCATCCCCAACCTCCCGCTCACCCCTACCTGGATTCTCGCCGCGTGTCCCAATGTTGGGTTTGCACCCTAGGATGCCAGCGACCAGCGGTACTTTTGGTGGTGAGCGAAACCACCGAATCTGATTGGCTGGCTCATCCACCGTGATGACTGAAATCGTGCGCCTTTTTCCCGCTGGGAGTTTCTTCACCGGCGAGCTCGCGCCACCGCCATAGTGCGGCCATTGCAATTTGATTGGAATTGATTTGATTTTCATCGATGTCGGCTTAATTTCTTCGAATGGGAAGGATTCCTTCACCGATTCGTGTCGAAACTCGCGAGATGCTGTATCCTTAGGCACCCCAAATCCACTTGTCCTCTCTCGTCGCCGGTGACTTTGAGAGAGTTCAGGGAATACCTCATCGTTCTTCAACCATCTCTCCGCAGCCTCCAGCCGATTCCTCTCCTCTGATTCCGTCCAAGCCCCCACGCTCGATCCCTTCTCGAACACAGGGGATGTTCCCTCCGCATTCAACTCTGCTTCCCGGGATGGAGTGGGCTGCGGGAGATGAGGGGCAGGGATCTCATCAGCGGCGGTGGAGTGATGGGAAGGAGTAGCCTTCTCCACCCTCATGACATTGGAAGCCCGCCATGCATCACGAAGGCGAATCAGCTCCTCGCGATGACGAAGCAACTTAGCCGACGAAGCTTGGTCGGTGGAGTCCAGATTCGCGGGTGAGGTTGGCTCTTGAGAGGACGAGGATGTCGAGCCCTTCCCAGCGCTTCGCGGGGAGTGGTTAGCCGCGACTCTCCCGCCCGGGGTGGCAGACGCCGCCGGCGAGGAAGTCGAAGGCGGTTCGCCCGTCCGGTCACCCGATACGCTCATCCTCGGATCCAACTGACTTATGTAGTATTTTATTCAAGAGTAAAATGCACACATGTCCATTATCCTGTGAGGAAGTTTCAGTTAGGTCCATTAACTTTTAAAGTGTCTTTTTGGATCCATAAAATTTATATGACGTATCACTTAGGTCCATATCCCTCCACATAGACTTCTTAGCTGACGTTACATATTGACTTGTCCAGCTGAAGCAGCTCTTGAACCTTTATTTCGTTAAACACGTTATGGGCACGCGCGCGAGGACGTCGCCGCCGCAGCCACACGGGCACGGGAGCAGGCCCACATGTTGTTCGAGTTCTCGGTGAGCCTCCAGAGCACCCGTGTCGCCCTCTCCTTGGGCGCCTCGCTGCTGGCGCCCACGTCAAGGACACGGACCACGGGGCACAATGATGCCAACAATGACCAGATTTCCCCTATGTGCATCGGATCCAACGATCACCGAGACCGCCTCCAGGGCCATCTCTTGGACGTGGGTGTTCGGGCACTCAAGTAGTGCTACGAGGACGTCGACACCGTCCGCAACATTGAACGCCACGACGCGAACGCACTTCTTGTCGTCGCGCAGCACCTCGGTGAGCGCGGTCATGGCCTCCCTCCGCATCTCGGAGCCGCCGACCCTGAGCTTGGCGAAGAGGTCGTCGCGGCTGGGCCCGGCGCCAGGGCGCAGAACCACCAGTGCTCGTGCCCACGTCAACGCGCCCGACGCGTAAACCTCGTCCAGCCGAGCCACGTGCGCGTCGAGGGCCGCAGCCAGGATGTCGAGGTCGCGACGCCGCTGCAACTTGCTGCAGCCCCTGGCTCCGTGGCACCAGCTCTCGCACCTCCCGAGCGGCCACCGCAACGTCCCACAGGAGGGTCGCGGACGTGTCGCACTGGCCCTGCCGTTCTCGTCGCCCGGGGGGACGGTGATGTCAGCGAGGCCGGCCTGGATCCGATTGAGCCGGTCCCTTTATGAGCTGCCACTTGAGCGGGAGCAGCGTCGCGGACAAGGAAGCGGAGACCAACGAACTGATGGCGTCCCGCGCCTCCACCAGGCACCGCTACTCGTGCGCCCGCGTGGCCGCGGTGACGGCGGCGGCGGCTCCCGTTCACGCGCCCTTATGTGTTTGACAAAATAAAGGGTCAAGAGCTGCTTCATTTGGATAAGTCAGCAGGCCACTTTAGCGTAAGAAGCCTACATGGATGGATATGAACCTAAGTGATACGCTATACAAAGTTTGTGACCCAAAAAACCACTTTAAAAAGTTGATGGATCTAACTGAAACCTCCTCACAAGTTTATAGACCTCTGGTGCATTTAACTCTTTATTGAATCCCACCTTACTCAGGTGGTGTTTAAATCCAAGGAGTAAAGTTTAGAGATGTCACATTGGGTGTTACATCAGGGTGTCACATGGGAGTGTTCGGATAGTAGTAATAAAATAAATTACAGAAGTACTCAGTAATCCGCGAGACGAATTCATTAAGCCTAATTAATCCACCATTAGCACATGTTTACGGTAGCACTACATTGTCAAATCATGGACTAATTAGGTTTAAAAAATTCATCTCGCAAATTAGTCGCAATCTGTGCAATTAGTTATTTTTTAGTCTATATTTAATACTTTATGCATGTGTCAAGTATTCGATGCGATAGAGAGTAAACTCTAGGAAGAGGAACTACACAAAGCCTTAATATAGTCGGTAAAGATACATTACTGATCATGTGTCACTCTAACACCCGACACAATGACACATGGCTGGCCAGACCAAACCTGCAAACCACCAGTTGAGCCACCTCGTTGATCATGGCCTGATTGGCAAACCAGGCAAAGCATACGTTGGCTAATGCTCAGGTCCTGAAGATTTTCATTTTTAAGTTCCCTAATAACCACCGAAAATCATGAAACAGCGGAAAACAGAGTTTTTTTTTTTCTGGGAACGAGCGAAAATCACAGTAGGATATATACAGTCCCGAATTTGATGTGTATTTACATCTGTCTGTAAGTGTAATATGTGGTTTGATTGACGTGAAAATAGGCAAAGGAACCTAGTAGAAGAGAGGAAAAATCAAAATCTACAGCATCGAATTATCATGAGATTGGAGCCCAAACACCAGGAATTCACGATGCACGCACGTGCCAAACTCCCGATGGATGGTGAATTGCTCCGGTGATCACCACCTGACAAACTTCTGCGCGCCTTCGAAGAAGTCCAGCATGTAGTCCTCGAGGTCCTCGAGGCTGCACTTGACGTGCCTCGCCGGGTGCCGGCTGCCCTGCCCGAGGAACGCCCGGTACGCCGGGATGAGCCGCTCCGACACCGCGATGCGCAGCTCCTCCCGGAGCTGGGCGTCCGCCACCTTCCACGCCGTCTGCGTCCGGTACAGCTCCTGGAACGCCGCGTTGAAGCTCTTCGCCGACGGGCCCGACGGCGCCCTGTGCCCTGCCGGCGGCCTCGCCGCCGCGCCGTCGTCCCTCCTCAGCTGGGACAGCACGGCGGTCCAGGAAGCCCGAAGGTAGCCCGTCTCGTACTGCCGGATCTGGCCGCGGTGCCGCCGGAGCCAGTCGTCGCCGACGAGCTCGCGCAGCGGCGGCGACTCCCGCACCTTCTGCACCACGTAGTAGAGGTTGTTCATCAGGAAGATGTTCTGCAGCCCGGCGTCGTCGTACAGCCGGGACTTGTCGTCGATGTTGCGCAGCAGCAGCGTGAGCAGCTCGCGGAGGCAGCGCGCGGACGGCGTCGAGGCCGCGGTGCCGTCGGCGGCGTCGGTGGCTGTGTCGTCGAGGCCGGCGTCGCCGAGGACCGCGTCCAGGGTGCCGCGGCAGTCGGCGAGGAGGCCGCAGTAGTTGAGGACGTAGCGGGTCATGGGGTGGATCTCCCCGCCGTGGACGGTCTTCCGAGACGCCTCGCCGTGGATGGCGTGGCTGAACTCCTCGATGGTGTGGCGCACGGTGGAGCCCAGCTGCTGGACGGTGCTCGAGACCTCGCCCGCGAAGAATTCGCGCGCGGCGTCGTCCGAGAAGAGCGCCTCCAGCTCCGGCCGCACGTCGGCGAGCGCCTCGTACATGCCGAGCGTGCGGTACAGCTTCTCGGTGGCGCGCGGCGACACGGCGACCGCGTCCGCGAAGGCGAGCAGCTGCAGGACGCAGCCCCTGGCGACGTCGGCGAAGCACTCGTTGCCGAGGTCCTCGTCCGACGCGAAGACCTCGTCGCAGAGCCGGCGCTCGTCCGCGAGGAAGGTCCTGACCACGGCCCTCACGGCGTGGCTCCACCGCCGCATCCTCTGGTCGAGCGCCGACCACTCCATCCTGAGGACCTCCTCGATGGCGACGGCCTCGACGCCGAGGACCGACACGGACTCCGCGAGCGCGTCGCGGCGGGCGGACACGTACACCTGCGCGAGCTCCGGCCCGTACCCGGCGCGCAGCATGCGGGCCGCGACGGCGCCCACGTATGCCGCGGCGGTCGGGGAGAGCGTGCCGTCGTGGCGCGGGGACGCGTCGGGCGTCGCGTCGCCGAGGTCGTCCGACAACAGCGAGAGGCGCCGCAGAGAGGGAGAGGAGGAAGAGAGCAGGGACCGCGCCTCCTCCTCCAGGCGCGGCATGGCGGCGTGCACGGCGGCGGCGGCGCGGGCCGAGCGACCGGACGCGGCGATGGCGTCGTCGACGGCGTACAGGTAGTCAGCGGTCATGCCGCCGGACGACGGCGACGAGGAGTTGCCCCGGAGGATGACCTCCTCCGCGGCGGCGATCTCCTCTTCTAGCTCTTCTTGATCGTCATCAGCGCCGGACGCCTCCTCCTCGCCTGTCTCCGGAGAGGGAGAGCGAGTGCAGGCGCGGGTCGAAGGTGGACAGGAAGTGCATCATGTCGTCGGCGGCGTTCTTGGACACAGCCAGGCTCTTCAAGATCTGCTTGGCGGCTGCCATGACCCTCTCCTGCCCAGCGTCCTCCGGCGACACGCGCTCCATGGACGCAGTCGCCGTGGAAACACAAGGAGCAAGCTTTCTCTTCCTCCTTCCTCGTCGCCGAGGCTCTGGAATGATTCTAAAGGTGAAAGTCTGTTACGCCGAAAAGATCTTGGTCGTAATTTATAGTACTTGCCTTTCATTTCTAAATAAAAATATCAGAATAATTTCTTTCCTTTGACATCTTTGCTTGCGTCCTCTAAAAAAACTACTCCGTACTAAAGTACTTGTGAACCAGAGGATTTAGACCGTGTCAAGTGAATACAAGTATCGCTTGTCAGTTTGAGAAGTGGATGAAAAAAAATAAAACATACGGGTGTGTTCTATTGGAAGGAATAATCTCGTCGACGTGTAGATGTCGACGGCAGCAGAACGACCTCGACAACGCTAGCCCTGTTCGCTTCTCTTATAATCCGTTATTTTCAGTTTATTTTTTTAACCATAATAGTGTTTTTCTTTTACGATAAATTAGCCAGAACAGTATTTTAGTTTGTTTTTTCAATGAAGCGAATGGGGCCAATATGCAGTTCGACTCGACCAGAAGATGCAGACGACTGCAGGTGCTCAGCAAGTTTTACCGGATGCGGTTGTGAAAACTTCGTAGCAATTTCACTGAGTTTGGACTTCGGAAGTTCGGAGCATACAGACACCATTTTTAAAAAGCACCGTAGATGTCGACGTCTACGTACACTCACCCTGTACTAACAGGTAAGCACGCTGTCGACGCGTTTTTACCAAAATGACGGGTTAATTGACGAATACGAATCAGAGGAACAGTTCTTGGGACAGAGTTTATATGGGTTCAGTCAAATCAAAGGGAGTATCTGGGACAGAGTTTGATATTTTGCGTCCAGTATATTATGGTGTTTTGTATTCTTGTGTGCCGATTAAATGTTAAGGTTGGCCATCCGAGTAGTGGTGATAAGTTGCAGTTTAGGGAGATGCTACTGATTAGAGGAATCTTGTGAATCTAATTGGTTCATCTAGGCTCCACTAGGTGTATGCAATGGTTCATCTAGGCTACTAATGTTTGATCGCTTATATAAAAACATCTTGTATGAGAGAAAAATAATACAAGGTTGTGACTCAACTTACAACGTTGGTAGCTCGAATGCGACCAACAACATGAATTTCTAATTGGTTCATCTAGGCTCCACGGACAAAGGTGTATGCAATGGTTTTCATCTAGAATACTATATATTTGATCGCTCCTCAAATGAAAAAATCAAAACTACAAAGTTTAGATAAGAGTTTAAAAATAAATAATATATAAGGTTTATGACTCAGGCGACTGAAATTTTATAATTTTGGTAGTTCAAATGAAAAATTAAAACTATAAAGTTGTAGATCGGTCAACAATTTACATATCAAAAAATGAGATAAACTTTAACAACATAAAAAACAGTTACCGAGACGGAGAGGTGAATCAAACACTTCATATCTTAAATTTACTATATTTGGACCAACTTGTTTTATGTAGTTAAATTAAATTAAAAATTATACCAAAGTTGTAGCTCTCAATGAGATCTACAACTTTGTAGTTTTGAGTTTTTTCATTTGAGGGCGTTAAGAAATATAAAATTTCGCGCCTCTTAAAATAGAAAACCGCTTTTGAAACCAAAGAAAGGGGTTTAACCGGTTTCATAGTTGAAGGT